CTTCAGAAAGAGATCAAGCTCTCTGCTGAATGCATTTACATCTTTGTTCTTTGCAGTACTAACGAGTCTCAGGTTCTCTTCAATCCTGGGGTTCAGTTTTTCCCCCTCGTTTTCAGAACAATATGCTAGAAACTGCCTGCTGAGTGCATGTTGCGCCAAATTCACATTTGCCTAAGAAGAATTGAGGCAGCCTGTAGAAGCCCTTGCCATGGAAGTTGCCAGTTCAAAACCCTCAGCTCTGTTTTAATAGCAATGTTTACAGGACTTATTTACTGTTATTTTACTACCTGTACAGCTGCAGCCTTCTTTTAATTCAGGCTAAGCATGCAGTGTCTTAAAAATAAGACTAACTGCAGTTTTCAAAACCTTCCAGGGATGCTCTGAAGATCTTCCAAGGATACTCTAAATCCCCATCAGCTAGCAGGGAGACGCTGAAATGCTGTGAAGTGCTGGTAATAATGAAGCCTATTTGGTGATTTTAATTAAATAATCTCATGTTCCTCATAAATCCCAAGGGTTGTCCACTCCCCAGGGAAGAGCTTTTTGTATTTCTGATCTGGACCAGGGGACCTGAAATTTTCGCTGAAAGATGTACCAGGACCTTACTGTCAAACATCCAGTTATGCTGAGTCTCACCACCCCAATATATCTGCTCTGTTCAAAGCTGGGCTTTTTGAAACAAAGGTGTGCAACCTGCCCTGGGAACCTTTGAGTAGGAAAATGCCTCTGGCATCCCTGTTCTTAAGGAAAAAGGCAGACACAGCTCAATAGAGACTATAAACCAAAAGAAGTTCCAACAGCCAACCCATGGTGCATAGGACTTAGTTGTGAGGAGGAAGAACACAGTGATGAGTCCACAAAGCCTGTAAACTTCAGTTTTAGTTAAAAGTGCCCAATCCCTGCCATTGTACGGAATGGCTGAAACAGCAAAATAATGTAAAAGAATGGTCAGAAGTTTGTTACTGTTACTATCTCTAAAATGTATACATTAGTTCCTAAAGCTAACCAGAACTGACTTTTGGAGCTCCCAAAGCTCACAAAACCAGATTTGTCTAATCTTGAGGGGAAAGGGTGTAATTACAAATTCATTTTTAGCTTACGGGCAGTGTGAGGTGGCTTAAGGGGTCTATTTTCTGCTTAGACACTTTCAGCTCAGAGGAATGGAAAGCAAATATGGTCTCCCATCTCAGGGGTTGTATCTTAGCAATATAGAAGGCACTCTCATGTAAACCAGACACTGCAAAAGAGACATTAACACCAGCTCTTCTGGCACTTCCCACAATGACACAGTGGAAAAGCAGGACTTCTCCCACATGATCTTGCATAAATTAATTGCATGCACACTGCAGAACTTAGTGCACTTCCTCCCTAGAGAATGTGAGACTACAAAAGTGATGCCTGTGAAGCTCTCCAAAGCCAACACCCAACATGTCTCAGAGCTTACATTCATCTTCAATACACCTCAACTAAAACTTCCAGAAACCAGCTACACTTGTGAGAAAGGCTGACACTATCTACCCTAGGACACTGATGTCCCCATCTCAACTGTAGGGGCTTTGCCATTGTGCTTACATCACAGGGACCTACCACCATCGGTGAGCAGGCATTAAGGGGCCCTTTCCGGTAGTGGCATGCACTACTACATCTCCCTAGCCCATATAGACCAGGGCAACAAAAGCTGTACATTGTTACAGTTGCTGGCAGGGATTTTGCCAGCACAGCAATGCTATCCAAGAGCATGACTTCCTAGTTAACAAAGCCAGCAATGTTAACAAATTTAACAAATTTAAATTAACAAATTTAACAAATTTTAATAAGCAAATACAATGCTAGCAAAACATTACAGTGTAAACCTGAGTCAAAGAAAGGTATACAGCTGAGGTCATTTCTGCTCAGAGAAAGGAGAGTGGGAAGAGCAATGATTACTGATGGGTTAACAATGTCACAAGCTCACTTCCCAGCTGCAAATACAGATCTCCTTACCTAGAAACCAAAAGAACCAGATAAATCCATACATGGATATCGTAAGTAACATCCACTTCTCCACTGAATTTCCTCCTACTGCAAAGTGTGGCTCATGAGATGGTACCTCTTGATCTCCCAAGGGAAGGAAAAGTTTTCGCCATTGATCTGCTCAAATGAGTCACCAGAAAAACAGAACTGTGAATCCCAGCATGCCTGCGCTACAGCAGGAAACAGTAGGAAACACATACAGGGCAGAGCAGCTGCCTCAGCATGGGCTGGAGAGCTCTTCCTCTGAAGGAAGAGAAATGAGATGTCAGGAAGCAGGAGAAAAAGTGCAGGCTGGGGACCCCTACACCAACTTAATCCCATTCCTGAAGGTGGTACAAAGGCAGTACCTCTCAGCATAGCTTTCAGCCCCAGATGCCGAAGAAGATAACACAAGAAATCTTACTCAGGATGCACCACCTAGCAGAGGCAGTGTGTCACTAGACACTGTAATATAAATCCTCCTGTAAACTTCCAATATCATTCGCAGCACCAGCCTTCTCGGGTGTCTCTGGATGAAGCGCCATTTCAGCTCTATGTTTAGCACTTGGAGAGAAGCCAGAAAGACTTCCATAACCACTACTGATTTGTTAATCCTTTAATGCACAGGCACTGTTTGTTACTTAGGACGTCAGGTTTCATCACTCCTCAGCATGCTGGTGATAGAACTTCTTGACACCAGACTGCAAACATTATTGCAATGTCAATACTCCCAGGGAGAAAGCCAAGCCGAGTTAAAATGTGACTTTGGTGTTGACAAGCCAGTTTGGCACTGCAGAGTTCAAACAGCCAGGATCACCAGGCAGCTTTAAAAACAGAAGAAAGTTTGCCAGGATCCTATTTGACTAGAGTCTTATCCCAAGATCCGCATAGTAACAGCTAAACACTTTCCAATCAGATGGAGCAAGTAAGAATACAGTAAGTGGATTATACTTTTCCAAGAAAGTGCTGGGAACAATATGTATGTATGCATGTGAGTTTGTGTCTATACAGATTCTCCTCATCTTTCTCATTGAAAGAGAAAAAAAATGAATCTAGGTTTGCAGCATGACAGATTTGGAGCTCAGTATTCCCAAGGAGTTTACCCAGACTGTGGTAGCTTCAACTCTTCTCCTGCTGCCCTAAGGAAAGCTTTACATGATAAAAAGAAGTATTCCTGAGTGTGATCTAAAATAGATCAGATCCTGGTCTTTTTGGAGGGCCATTAAGACATCGCACAGGGGCTGCACGGAAGGTCACAGGCAGGCTGGCATTGGTGCCTGCTGCTGCTGGGGGGGGTGCAACTGGCTTTCACCATAGCACAGAGCTGTTTTAAAATCATTTCCCTCCTGGATTCAAACATCCATAGTGACACAGTCTGAAAGGTGAGGACACCTGAGGAGAGACACACGGAGGAAAAGGCACAGCCTTCCCACCCAGGACAGCAAGAAGGGGAAGGGCTCGTGGGACTGGTTGAGCCCCACGCACCCCCAGACTGACTGGGCTTCATCTTCTCAATGCAGTAAGTCCAGGCAGCTATTCAGCCACTATTAATTTACCATCCATTAATTACCAGCCACTTTTTTTTGACCTTATAAGGCAGATCTGATGCTCAGCTGTGGCAGGACAAAGATGGGCCAAGGGCATATAAAGCCCATTCCTGAATCCATATGCATTCCAGCTACCTACACACAGCCCGTCTGCTTACCAATAGCTCCAATTAAATGGTCTTGGGGTTTCAACTGCCGCCAGCTTTCTCACGGTTGGGAAAAAGACAAAGGGAGTTAAAATTGAATTAGCAATTGATTAATACATGAAGCCACTCGGTAGCTGTTGAGTTGAGCACCCTTTGGGGGCTTTAACGCTTTGGTGCCTTGTCAGTTTTGTTTCACAGCTAGCAATGCCAATGAGCACACTGGAAACTTGGGGTAATTGTCAAAAAAAGCTCACAGTCAGTTTAAAATGTGTATTTCAGTAAAATCAAGGTTTGACAAAATTATTTTACTGACATTTCAGTAAGCATAGATCCTTCATCCTTTAACAGAGATGTTTTAGAAGCATGGATCCTGGAGCAGTCTGTCTTCAGACTTGGTGAAATGCAAAGATCAGCACAACATAAACTGGCAAAAACGTATTTTTAATTTTAAATAATTGAAGGGTTTTTTTTTTATTGCAGTCTTCATAATTGGGAAGAATCTAGAACAAAATGACCATGAAACTCAGTGCTTGAAGTAAGAAGCAAAGTATAGAAAAAACCTTTAAAATGTGAGGGAGGTAGAACATACAACAGTGAAAGGATGCAAAGAACAAGAGAAAAAGGCTAACTTTTCCATCAGTTTAAACAGACAGCTGAATTCAGCAAAGCCACCCCTATCTACGGTAAGCAGTGTTTTGCGGGGGCATCCAGGGGACATACCAGACAGAATGGCTGTTTTCTTCCCGCTGCTTGACATTGCTGTATACAGACAGGTAAGCACCAGGAGTGATCAAAAGCCCATTGGCACGTGGAGTAGACTTTGAAGGGCAGATGCAAGCAAGAAGTGCCAGTTTAGAGAGGTCTGTTCAGATTTAAGCAAGATCTCAAATAAAAGCTGGGAGCCAGCACCGCACAAAACTATTCCCAAGGCTGTCTTTTGACTACAGCCTCCTCTTTTAACAAGATAAAAGTCAATGTAAATGGGCAAGCAAAGACAAAATCCTACAGCAAGGGCATAGGCAGCACCAGACCCTCGCAGCATCCCCTAGAGCAGCAGTAGATCAAGGTGTTCTGCAGGGAGGCATCTCTGAAACAGACACAGACACTAACAGAGGGTTTACTTTTTTCTTTTTTCTTTTTTTCTTTTTTTAACAAAAGGAAACCAAATTTCATCAGTGGGTGCTTGATATGAAAAGTCCATTATGCTCCTCCACTGTTAGGATGTCCACGCCTTTGTGCGTTCAAGTGGGCAGTCGGACACAACTATATGGAAAACTAAGCCACACTAATATCTACAAGGAAATAAAAAACCTACCTGGGAAAGCAGCTTGTTGTCATCCTCCAGCAGTTTCACTTTTGTTTCAAGTTGCCTGATATAGTTGGAAGACGAATCTTTAGGAAAAGAGAAAAGAAACACATTTAAGCTTCTTGTGCTACAGGCAAGTACTGACAGCGACACGTTTTCCCACTCCATGGAAAGCACTGTTGAGAAAGACCAAAAGAATAAAACCCCAAGTGCATAAGGTGAGTAAGGGATTCAGCAAAAAGTGATTTTCACTAAAAGCTGAGATTCAGCAACAGCAACATCTTCCGTGAATTCATGTCAGTGCCACCTGGTTTGGGGGTGAGCGAGCAGAGAAGGAAAGTGAAGTTGAAATACTGTCTTTCATGATTTTATACAAGTAATTTGGCTTTGAAAAAGCCATTCTCGTTCACGTAAAATGTATCAAAATATTCAACAACAGAACAAGATGTTTCCTTTTAGGCTTGAACAAACAACCCCTCCTCACACGTGCCTTTTTTCTTTCAAAAACAACTGAAAACCTCACAAAAATAAGCTGCTGGCACAGCCCTACAAGGAGATCACTGCCACAATTTCCAGTGCTGTAAAAGGGGAGGAACTGTGTACAGCAAGGCCGCAGAGCTGCAGCACGCACACAGCAAGTACCTGCCCAGGACATCTGTTTTTTCTAGTGGAAGCACATAATACTAAACAGAAAAATTCCAGGAGAATAAAATACAGAAAACCCTCACATAAAACAGCAATATTCAACCTTAAAGAATGTAATGGCCAGTTTTCCATTGCAATAAGACAGCAACACCAGATAGGGTGACCCGGTGTATAAGGTAACTTACTGGAGACCTATGTGGGTGGCTTACTGCTCTCCAAAATATCTGATTCTTGGTTTGAAATGTACTTTGAAGCAACACACTTGCAAATTCCAAGGGAAGAAAATAAAGGAACCTGGGAAAACCTTTTCTCCATTTTCATCACAGCTTAGTGGTTTCCAATAGTTCCTTGCAGACATGCAGATGTTTGCAGAATTTCTCCTGCACTTTGGTAGCAGAGGCTGAGAGTTGTTACAGCAGCAGGAAAAAGGTTTTGCAGCTTAAGCGTACAAAACACCCCAAACATTTTCTGCACTGCTAAAGGAGCTCTGCAAAATGGAATTATATTTTACCTCATTTCATTTATCACGGTATGACTGCAAAAGCCACTATTCAACCACAGAGCTTCTCACCAAGCATGAGACAATGAGCAAGAGGGTATTAAGGCAAACAGTGCTGATGCTGGCTGGTGCATGTTGCCGACTGCCAGCACCTTTCAGGATCAGCCCCACCGTGGTTAGCAGGCACCACTGCCTGCATCTCCCAACACGCAAACATGCGCCCATGCACACATATGAAGTTTAGGCTGGCTCTGTGCTAAACAGCTTGTCTTTGCCTTTGCCAGTAGCTGCCGAATGCACTCCAGCACAAGCCTGGATACTGTTTCTTGGCCACTCTGGGGGCAGTTTAGCAGAAGAGCTAGCATGCAGGCTACAGTTAATCACTGAGAGTGCTTTGACCATTCAAGAGAATAATTGGAATAAGCTTGAAAAAATGCTGCCATAAACAAGTGCCAAACCGCACATAAAGGAACAGCAGGATGGATCAAGTCAAGTGCCCATCTAAAGCACAAACACTCTCAGAGGAAACATGCTCCCTTTTTTGTTTGGATTGTTCTTTGTCCAAACTGAGGAAATCCAAACTGTCCTCATGGAAAAGGTTAAGATGACACTGTAGGAAGCTATGTAAGTCCAGTGAACAGTTCAAGTGGTGGTAAGGTTCACAGCAGTATCACCTTCAGCTGCAGGGACCACAAACCGTCCAACCACAACCCCAATATGGGAGGGGTCTCCAGGTCAGAGGAGAAGAGGGCAAACCAAGTAGCTTATATAGGTTATAGGATCAATCCATAGCACCTTCCCTGCCAAAGCCCCGTGCCAACAGCATCATGAATTTAGTCATGCATATCAAAAGGTGGTGAGTATAATGCTGCTGAAGACTGGTGCTTAAGTCAGCAAGATTCAGCATCAGCTTGAACAACTTGCTGAATTAGTAATGAACCTGTCCTCCAGCAGGACAAGAGGGGCTTCAGAGTATCTTAAATGCAAAGCCAGGAGGACCACAGACCCCTTGGTCTGACCACCTCTGTACCCCAGGCCACCACACTTCGTTAACTTACCCCTAAATTGAGTCCAGTAACACTGGCTAAACAGTTCCACGAACAGTCTCTAGGTCTATCTGAAGACAATCAGAGACTCCACTCATGTGCTGCATACAACAGCCTCCATCAGTAGATCTGGTCAGATAAGGTGTCCTTCCCTGCCTGCCCTGTACCTGCATTCTGCCAGGGCAGCAGCAAAGTCAAGTGCTTCTACACAATGAATGCAGTGATCCTGATAGAATAGATCCTGATTTTTATCTCAAAGTACTGGTGCATTCAAAGCAGCTTCAAGGAAGCATTCAAAGTGGTGTCAAAGAAATGCTCCATCCATGCCTGCCTGGGAATCAGAGATATGCCTCTGGATTAAGCACAGCCCCTGTGAGCATAAATTGCACAGGCAGCAACACTTGCATGAACAAGTGTAAAAATGCTAGATAATGCTAAAGATCTCAATGTGATGCCAGTAACAGACATGGACTCCACAAGAACCATAGCCCTGATTAATCCTGCTGCCCGTTAGTAGCCCAAACCCATTTCTCAGGTGGCAGGGAGCCTACTACATGCAGTGATCCCCCTCACCTTTGTATTCTTTTCCCACTGCCAAGTGTTTATATTGTGAGATACCACACCACATCCACAGCAACCAAAACCCAAAAAGCTTATGGGTCTTATTTCTGATGCAAACCAGCTCTTTTCTCACAGTTCTGTGCCAATGGAGAACAGACAAACTGCAGCAGGTCCTCTCCAGCAGCTCTGCATTCAAGCACAGCAGGAAGTTACCCAAGGTAGAGGCTGGCAACCTGAACTTCATGAGCAACCTCTTCAATGTGCTTGTGGTGGGTTCTAGCACTGCTAACACCTAAAGGAAATGTATGTTAAGTAGATGAATGGTGACACAGAAGCTGTTGTGGTCAGGCCCCAAATGCTACAAGGACCGACTGGTTGGTTGATGAAAAGAATAGAGCACATCTGCCAAAGAAAAGGAAATTGAGAGAGAATAATTTCCTCACTTTGGTTTCATATCCCTTGAAAAAAAAAAAAAAAAAGGAGTACTCCTTGGGAAGGCAACCCCTGCATCCCCAGGACACAACAGTTACCACCAGTCCTGAAAGCCTGCTCAGAGATTTACTAGAACTCTTCAAACACTACTGTTCAACCCCAAATCATGTCCAATATCTCACCTCAGTGAGACAATACCCCACAGCAACATAAAATATATGGAGGAAACGAAAGAAAGCAAATGAGGTTTTTTGTCAGCAGAAGATGCTCTGTCTCAGGCAAAGGCTGAGAAACAGCGCTCAGAGCCATCACCATCCTTGCTGTGCCCTCAGAGACTAATTGCCTCCATTTTCTGGACCTGCCTGTGTTGAAGTAGGTGTCAGGTGAGCCATCTGCATCTTGATCTCAGGTTTAAAAACCCCATAACTCTCATGACAGCAGGCAGTAACACTGCCGGGCTGAGCAGTGAAGCCCTACGCTGCGTCTCTCCCATATTAGATCAAGAAACACATTCCAAACATTTTTCTGCCTCTGACCTTCCTCTTATCAGAGCTTCCCTCCTCTCCTGCCTCCCCCAGAGCCATAGGGCAAGGACTGCCCTGCTGACCCACCCAGGAGAGGCAGCAGAGCTGAATCACTGATGTCTTGGACCCCCCCTTATCCCCTTCATTAAAATTAAACAAATGGTCCACATTGCCTTGTCAAAGCCTGCCACACGCTGTGAGGAATGCTCCACCTTCACCAGCCCCAGTGCACTCTCCTCACTGGCAGGAGTAGCTCCCAGACCTGGATGCTGGGGCATATCCACAGCACGCCCACCCAGCCACCACCTCATGACACCGACTTTGAGTCCACCCATGCCTGCTGGAGCCTTGCCACTGACCTGACACCTTGTCCCTAGCCTGGCTGGTCAACCATGCCAGCTAGCTCTAGCAAGTGAACAGGAGGTACAGTATCAGGGAAGCAGACAAGGCCAAGGACACATGGTCAAGGCTAAGCAAGGTGGTCAAGGATAAGCTTTTTGGGAGGATGGTCTGGCAGTCGGTGCCACCTGGGATGCCAACAACACCACATCCTCCTCCAGGTACTCCTCAGGGCCACAAGCACAGCTGCATGAGTAATGGGTGCCTTAGTGGACCAGATGGTACCAGAAGGAAGAAATTTCCCATCAGAACATCTCACCTCACACCCAGCACCCTCCCTGTCACAGCCAACCATCGTACTTGGTACAGAAGAGAAGGCTGGGGAGAGAGACGGCATCATGCCCTGCAGGCTGCTACCTGCAACAGCAAAACGTATGAGAACCATAATCACCATGAGCCATCGATCACTTGTACAGTGCAGATGCTTCAAGCTAAATTGTTCAGAGCTGTAAAACCTGAAGTCCCATTTCTTCACAAAGCCTTTGAAAATCTAACTGAATGTAGCACTGCACATTTTCTCCAAGAGAGGTAGAAGAGTCACATTCCAGCCTAAAAATGAACATTACTGTTATTGTCCGCCCTCCTCGAGATTTACTGTCTTAAATACATACTCCATCTGGAATGGGGTATAATTCAACCTGGATGTAATCTAGCTCAGTAACTTTCTTCCACATAGATAAACCACTTAATACTCATTACAGCTAAATTGAGGAAAGACAAATCACTCTACCTTGTTTTAACTCAACAGCCTCTGAGAGAGCAGGGAACTGCCTGACTCCTGAAGCTTTTTTAAAACATAAATTAGAAACTGTTTCAACAGTGAAAACAAACTTTTAGTCTGTGGAACACAGAACAGTGCCATTTTCAAAGGCACTTCGAGATACTGGAACTGTTCCGATTCTCATCTGAGATATCAAAAGAATGTGTCAGAGGTAAATACTATGAATTATACTATGAATTATATATATTTTTGTTTCCTT